ACATGGCATACAGTGCTACAATGAAAATAAAATAAGATTTCAGAGCCAAAAGCTCTGGGGATAAATTCCAGGTCTGCCACTTACTAGCTAGGTGATCTTGGAAAAGTTGCATAACCCTTCTGAAACTCAATTTCCTTATTTTTAAAATTGAGATAATAATATTTACCTTGCCTGGTCGCTGTGTTAAATGAGACGATATATGTTAAAACACCTGGCAATGGATGGCAATGAATAAATAATCCATAAATGAGAAACTACTTCAAATATGCAACTATTAGCTTCTACTACAAATGCAAAAGTCATTTATAAGTCAATAACAAAAAATTACTGTTGTCTTCTGGTCAAATATTATGATGGGGACAGACTCCAAGAATCATACCTGTACAACAGGGCTTATTTATGCAGGATTTAGGACCATTTGGAATATAAGACCTTAAGTACTTCAGCATCAGATATGCACAGGTTTGCTGACATCCTATTGAAAATCCAATGGGAGAAAATCCATTGAGATTGAGAAAATTAGGTGTGTTTATGTAAACCCTACACCATTATGCTGGCTGAGATGTTCATCAAGCTCTCAGGGGCTTCATTTATTCTCTTCATTATTTGTATGTAGGTATTAAAACTGCATAAATCTAATTAGTTTTGAAACTTGATTTGGACCAACATAATTAATGTGGCCTATTCTTTGCTCATCTGTAGTATTTCTGAAAAGCAGCCATGACTGGGTGTCTGGAACTCTTTTCTTGAGCTCTGTCCTGTGATTCATATTTAGTGGCACCTTAGGGACCTGCAGGAAAAGCCATGATGCTTTTCTCTGTGTGAAAGTGACCCATGATTTAGTTCAGCCTTGGCATTTCCCACTTATCATATAAATCCCCCCCAAATACTGGACTCTTTAAACAGACAGAGATGAGTTATTGAAGAATCTTCTCCCTTTCCCTGCCCCATATTTATCTCTATCCCAACTCCCCCTTCCTAGGTAAGCCAAGAATCTCTTCCTTGTTTCTGATTTCCACGTAGTTTTTCATAAGTGAGTAATTGTTTGTATTTTCTAAAATTGCTTTTTTTTACTCAAAAAAATTTTTTAGATAATTCCATGTGAGTACGTACTAATCTGCTTCATTCTTTGTAAGGATTCATAGTATTCCAAAGTATTGAATCAGTATTTATTTAACAATATCCCTACTATTGCTTCATTGTGCTTGTACATCAGTAGTTCTCTTGGATGTACTCTAAGAAGTGGAATTACTGGATCAAAAAGTTTACATAATTTAAATTCTAATGGATACTTCCAAATTGCACTTAAAGAAAACACATCATTTTTAAAAGGGTGTTTTACGTTAATAATATATTCAATCAAACTTACTTTTTTGTTGTTTATTGCACCTACCAATTTCTGAAAGCCTTGCATTATGATTGTGGGTTTTTCAATTTCTCATATTCCTATCAGATTTTGCTTTAAATATTTCAACACTGAGTTATTAGGTATATGAATGATTAAGACTGCTATAACTTCCATGTGAATTATACTTTGTATTTTTATAAAACCTTTAAAAATATCTGTGTCAATTTACATCCCACCAGCAATATTTGAGAGTACACATGCCCCCATTCCTTAGTTAACCTTTGATATTGTCAAATTTATTCGTTTGCAACAAACAACATGATCTAATTCAGTTTTCTATTTACCATGTTTTCATTGTTGTTTTTTTGTTGTCCTATCATTATTTGCTTTAGTTAGATTGAATCGAGTTTCTTTGTACTATTTTTAATCCAATAATATAGACTGTATGCATCTTATTTATATTATTCTAATAGTTATAACTCTTCAATGTTTACATTTTCTACCAATTCTGGAATTAATTTGTTTCTATATCCTACCTTCAATTTAGAAAAGACAAGACAATATTTTTACTAGTTTTTTTCCTTCTTCATCATTGCCTCTTACATACCTCTCCTTCCTTCTGGATTTAATTTCTTTCTTCTGATGTGATTTCTTCATTCAGTGGCTCTTTCAGAAATGGTATGCTGATATTAAATTCTTTCATGTGATTTTCCCTAAAAATATCTTTATTTCACTCTTACTCTTAAACAATCATTTAGCTGGGCATAGAATTCCAAGTTGATATTTTTATTCAGCACTTTGAAGACGTTATTTTCTAGTTTCCATTGCTACTGATAAATTAGTTGTCAGTCTAAAATATTTTTGATAGGTAAGTTGTCCTTCCCTCTCGTTGTTTTTAAGGAGTTCTATTTGCCTTGGTGTTATGCAGTTTCACAATAAATTGAGGCTTTATTTTATTTATCTTATTTAGGAGTTTTTGTTATTGGATATAAAGATTAATATCTTTCATTAGTTCTGAAAAATTTTTGCTATTATGTTTTTGTAACATTGCCTGTCCACTATTCTCTCTACAATCTCCTTCTATCATTACTATTAGACCTATGTTGGACTTCCTCACTCTGTTCTGCATATGTCATAAATTATTTTTCATTCTGTGTATCTGTTTATCTCTCTCTCTGTGTATAATATTCCAGGTAATTCCAAAGATCTATCTTCTAGCTCATTAATTCTTTCTTCAGTTATATATAATCTACTGTTTAACCTATTTTTTTCTGAGTATGTTTTTTATTTCTAGAATGGCTCTTTGGGTTTTTTCCCCCTCTAAGTCTCTGTGGTCTTTTCTTTAAAAAAAATACTTCCTTTCTTGAGTTTCATATTCTTTTACTTTTTAAAAATATTAACAGATATTTTATAATGTCTATTAGACCATTCTATTTTCTGAAGTTCTTAATGGTTTAAATCTAGTCTTTAATGTATTTGCTGATGTACTCTTGGTTTTTTCTGTTTGTTTTTGTTACTGTTGTTTTATGATTTTAAATCGAGAGCACATCTTTCTTCAGTGGGGTTTTATCTATGTTACTCTTGTCTAGCCTTAATTGAGAGTATGTCCTCCCAAATAAGTTTTGTTCTTTATTTCTGTCAGCTGTCCTCCATTTCACTAGCTCAGGATAAATTTTGATGCAAATTTCTCAACTTGAAGGTTTACAGATGAGAAAAACAGTATAATTTGAACTCCAAAGCCATATTTGGTGCAGACTTGGTTCCAAAATTCCCAAGAGAAACTGTTTGCCCTCCAAAAGATGTAACAGTCTCACAGATGAAAAATTGATTTTATATTGCCGTGACAAGCAACACTTCAATATATCCCTTTCTGCAAGTAACTACAATGTACAATTATTATAATTTCTAGAACTCTGGGAGGCTTAGGTAGCTGACCTTATGGAAACTTAGTATCCAAGAACCTGGTATACTGTCCCTGAAGATGAAAGATTTTAACAGCAAGGGGATCACCATTTACACTCTAAAGAGATGAGATTACCCAAGTCTTTAATGACCAGCTTCATATTGTGAAAGAGTGTGTTGATATATACTGATAGTTATGCTGTGACATGCACTGAGTTGAAGGAATAGGCAAGGTCCCATCACCTTTCTGTGCAGCAGCCAATCAAAATGCGCCACTCTCACATGACAAGGGAAAACTCATCATTTTTCATTTTAGAGTCAAATTTCTTTATTCTATAAAATTGAAACCAACAGTAGGTCCAATGCTCAAAAGGCTCTGTGCTTTAAATGAGCCTATATGCCTACCTGAGGCTTGTCAACCGTGGTGGCACATCCCAGGCCCATGCTCAGTCTTCCTGTGATTTTTACATTAGTAGCACACGATATATAGACAGAATATAGTGAATTTGGAGTGGAGGGCCATATTCCTAGTCAAATTGCTCTGGAAAGTGATTGATAAAATATAATAGAATCTTCAAGATCACTTTTCATCAAAGGAAGAGTGAGACTTTGATTATAGCTTAGACTTTGATTGATTACCTCTCCAGGCTGATACCAGTCCCCACACCCACAGCCAAATTTTTTTCATCTTCAAGATTAAAGTATTTGTGGATAAAGCCTCAATCAGGGGTTTGAGTGTCCTTATTTCCACAAGGCTGCAGTCTTGACTATTTCCTAAATTTGAAGTTCTCACAAATTTTAGTTTTTAAAATTTCTTTGTTTTGCATTTATATTATTTGTATGTATTGTGTTTTTATAGATTTATTTTATATAAGGAAAAAGTTGCCACAAAGAGGTTAGGGGCTTCTGGTTTCACATTTTCTGTTTGGGGCAGGTAATTTGTAAAAGTTGACAGAAAAATTTCATATTCCTGGTGATCATAGATGGCATTGGCCAATCCACAAGCATTGTTCACACACTGACCGTGTGCCAAGAACTCAGCCAGGGTCGAGGAAGACTTCCACGTAATCAAAGCAACCTCCCTGGGCCACATCATTTACCAGGTGTAGAAGCAAAGGAGACTTAGTGTTTGCCTTCATATACAAAAAATGGTTAGAGAATGCAGATTTACAAATGCCCCAATGGACAATGTTTTAAATCACTGTCTAGTAGCATGACACCTTGAATGTGCTACCAAATTATCCATTCTCTTCTCTCCTTCTCTAATACATACCTATAACTATCCATTTACATTTGGAAAATAAGAGAAAGAAAAATGTTAACTCATGAGTTGTCTCCAAGCATGCAGGAAATTCTACCTTTCCAATCAAGGCTAACTTTGATATTCAATCCTTTTGTAGAACGTGGTAACCTGTACTAAGAAGTAAGTAATGTTTGCAAATAAAATCTCAGACAACAACCACTTGGCTAGCCAGATACACTCTGGATGAAGCAACATATTGACGTGGGTATAATGGAATATGTAATATTGCTCAATCAAGACTATGCTTCTGTGGTTGACTTCCCACATCTTGCAAAGATCTTGAAGAAATCACATTCAGAAAAATCATATGGACATGGTTGAATGCCTCAACTCTTGGTTAATGAATAACCTTCTTTTAAATTGGCTTATTGCTGACCTCACAAGGCTTTCTATTTTGGCTCTCTTTAGAGTCTCTAAAATTTCAGAGAAAAACTCTTGAGTTTCAAAATGCCTATGGGTAAGAATAGGCTGATTTTACTACTTGGAATGCTCTGTTTGGAACAAGGTAAATCTGCAACTGTCTCTCTCCCCAAAGGTAAGTTCCAAATAAACTCTACAACTACCTTTGTCTGGAGGAATAGCCTTTGCTGGCAATGGGCCTCACATCTCCACTCCATATTCCTTTGGGCAAACAGGAGAAGCAAATGTATTTTGGAGATCTATTTGTTTTTCATGTAATTTTTTTGGACTTCTCTCCTGCAATCAGCATATGAAACCAGGTGGACAAGTTGCATTAATTTGAAGAAAACTGGGATTGTTCACTTATTTGGACACATTACACAATCCCATCCTCTTTTGTAGAGCAAATTCTGGAAATCAGCATAAATTTGGCAGCATTTGTAACCTTTTGGAAAACTAACTTGCTGGAAAATATGAAGCATGTTCGCTGAAGTATACTGTAAATGGTCTTTTTTCCTCAAGTAACATAAGCTGAGAACAGTTCTTGGCAGGCTTTTCTACAGTCAGATTTGCGTCAGCCCCAAGAATCATCATGTTTTCTGTCCTTGCTTCAATGAGTTGAGGAAATAGTAAATTTTGTGTCTAAGGTATTTATGATTCACTCAACTAAAATAGTTGAAAAATAAGTTTTGATCCAATGTTATGCCTTCACTGCAGTCAGAATCAAAAGGCGTAGTTTTACATCCATGCTTTGCCATTAATTAGCTGTGCATCTCTTTGATTCTTTGTTTTCTCATCTGTAACATGGGAGTAATAGAGCTTGATTCACAGGCATAGAATGGGAGTTAAATGAGAAGTTACTTGAAAGAGCTTTGTATATTTTAACATAGTAATCTAAATAGCTGTGCTTTCAAGGATAAGTTCTCAAGAAAAACCATTTGTTCATCCACCCAGCTTTTCTAAGTGTCTACTGTATTCTAGGAACTGTGCTAAACCTTGGAAATATAGAAATGAATAAGATATTTTTTTTCTCAAGTAGTTCATAGTCCAGTGAGGGAGACAGATGGACAATTCACTATCATAATACTGCATGGCAAAAACTATAAAAGGCGAGAGGAAAGAGGACTACACAGTACAAAGATGAGACACTTAACATGGTTTGAGGAAGTCAAGGAAGGCTTCTCAGTTGAGGTGATCTCCAAGCTGAAGAATAAGGATTAGAGGATTCTTCTGGGTTGATTATGAGGCAGGGCTTTCTAAGCCCTCCTAGAAAACATGTAGAGAACAATAATCTGCAGTAGGGAGAAAAGATGTGCCATCCTTGAATTTCCAGGCAGTCACAAACATCTTTAATCTAGCCCGTCTACTAGCTGAGGAGTCATAAAATACCATTGAAGATAAATAAGTAAATGCAAGTTTTTCAGGGATAAAGTCTTTTCCACAAAGAGGAAAGAGTTTTTTCTTCCATTACCTGGCAATCCTTCTAGCTAATACCACTCCGGTATGTGAATCAGGACACTATCTTCTCTCCACTCCACCCTCTTTGAACAACCTGCCACTTCCCACTCTCGTAGAGAATTAAATCCAATATCTGACTGTGTGCCAGGCAGCATAGATCATGGTCTCAGACTCAGTCTTCTGGGTGGGGCAGAGGAGAAGATGTGCACGCAATTACAATCTAAGGCAGACTATGGCTTCATCCATTCAACCAATTAATTGAGCAACTTGTATGCATCAGGAACTGTGCTAGATATTGTGGATGTATATAGTCCTAAGATTCAGTTCCTATCTTTGAGGACCCCATAGTCTAGCTGGGTTGAAAGACATAGAAATAACTATAAATGCATGTGACAAATGTCATAGAAGTACAGAGAGCTGTGAGGAGTCTCTAAGGGGCCAGAGTGCTCAGAAGTAAAAAGGGGCTTCATGTCTGCTAACCCAGTGGCGATCTACCTCTGAGGCCCTTAATCTTCACATCAGAAAAGTAGAGCTCTTCATGATATGCCTGTTGTATGTAACAAAAGCTGAATAATCCCTTGTGCTGCAAATCCCACAATTCACTTAAAGACGTATTGTAATATTTCTACATGCTCTATGTCCTAGAGTTCTTTCATACTCAGAAAAGTTGCCTGTCCCTCAGTGCTTGGAGCTATCTAATTACTACATTTTTGTGTTTTCTTTTACCAGGTCCCACTTGTGGGCGGAGTCTGGTGAAGGCACAACATTGGAATTACTTTAACATTTTCAGTCGCATTATTGGGGGAAGTCAAGTGGAAAAGGGTTCCTACCCCTGGCAGGTGAGTCTCAGGGAACATTGTCTGGTGGGTGGACTATGAGCTGTCTCAGGATTAGATCTCTCAGAATCACATGCTACTCATCAATGCACTCCATTCTGCCTAGCTCATCACCAGACATCTCATGAGTGTGTGCAAAGATCTAAATCCCTCATGATGTACACCAGTTGAGTTCCAGAAAAGATCTGTTCAGAATATTCACATGCACCACTGGCTTGCTCCAAAACTTGGAAATGCCATCCCAAACTTTCAGCCCCTAAGACAGAAGTCCCACTTCAAGAAGCTTAAAAATTTTTTAATTTGCAATTTAAAAAATAGTTTTCTGAGTCAATAAATATATTTAAAATATGCTTATCTCATTATAGTTTAAGATGACCAGGGAAATCAAAGGTGTAATATTCATAGGACTACTTTATGTCTGGGGTGTAAGGTTTGTATCTATACCATAGGACCCCTCAGGGAATAGTCAAGAGTATTACCTTTTTAATAGCTAACATCCTAAGAATTCTGTCTCAATTTAATTTCCCCATCCTCCCAGGCCATAGAATTGCCCTTGTGCTTCTGCCCCTAGCCTATGGTGTTTACATTTACTGTCTTTGAAAGTCTGACAACTTTCTTTATCCTGGAAGCCATGCTGTATTTTTGCCTCTTAATTTTGCAAGTAGAGTGATAGCTCTTTATTTTTACTTTCCTTTAGTGAGTCATATTAATTTCATATTAGTGGATATTTGGTAATGGTTGATTGATCGAGTTTGTGTTTAATCATTGATGGAATGGCTGAGTCATTGTCATTCGATTAACTGGTGAATTAATTAATTGGTTGAAGAGTTGATTCATCAGTTGCTTACTTGGTTGGCTAGTCAATTCAGAAGTACATATTCAAATTATAGTCAGAGGTGACTCATTGACTTTCTTACTTACAAGTAAGTAAAGTAAAACAACTTTTACTTGTTCTATTCTTAGCTTTTTCTCTGTATTAAATATCTTTCTCAATTGCTCATTGAATAATGTTTGGTCAAAAAGGGAACAATTCTAATAAATTGCTTCTTTTCTAATTTCAACAATGGAATTAAAAGTGTTACTTGTACTGTGTAGGTTGTTTTAGAGTCAAATCCAATACATAAACAGAACAAACCAAAGATAGAAAGTATATTATAGAGGCAGATTAAAAAATAGGCTTGGATGGAAACTAGACTTTCAGTGGTGAATACAATGCAGTCTTTAGAGAAGTCAAAATTTAATGATGCACACTTGAAATTTACACAATGCTATAAACCAATGTGACCCCAATAAAATAATTTTTTAAAAATAGGCTTGAAGGAGTTGTAGAAGTCAAATAGTTAAGAATATGAGAAAATTGTAGGCCCAGACTATTTCTCTAAGAGGCTTGGAGGAATTGGAGCACGTGTTGAAAGACTGCCTTAGCCCTCACCTTGCCTTTCTCCCAAACCTCTTCACCTGGACTCTACTATATCTTATGCTTCTTTTCCTTTCTCTTCATTCACAGATATTGTTCATATTGTTAGAGCAACAGTCTGGGTCAACAGTATTATAAAAATAAATAGATGATTGATAGATAGATACATAGATAGATAGAGAGATAGAGAGATAAATAGAGAGATAGATAGATGATAGATAGATAGATGGTAGATAGTAATAGATAGATACCAACAATTTTTACTAGCAATCATACTGTAGCCAGTCATCTGAAATTAACTACCTCTCCTGTGGACCAGGATTGGGAATGTTCTGGTTCCAGCACTGCTCTTTTTTCTGGCTGTAGTGAGGTCAGTTTTTCCCCTTCACAATCCATGGTTTCTGATATTTATGAGTAAGTTATCTCCAGGTTTTGGGGGATCCCAGGGCATTAACTTGCTCCCATTTACGGTCTTTGCAATTCAGGTGTCACTGAAACGAAGGCAGAAGCATGTCTGTGGTGGGACCATCATCTCTCCACAGTGGGTGATTACGGCTGCTCACTGCGTTGCAAACAGGTAAGAGAAGGTCCAGTCGTGAATAAAGGATGGTTTACCTTCTTCTCCCTTGGAATCAGCAGCAATAACTCTATTAAAGCATGGAACTCTGTGATATATGCTTTAGTGCAGGGACTATCTTAAATGCATAACATAAATAGAGCTCAGTGACACTGTCAGAGGATGCTCAGCTTGGTAGAAAACATACATCCCTTGCAGGAATAGAAAACTTTGTTTACTTAGGTATGACTAGAAGTTAATAAAGAAAAATATCCAAGTGAGAAAAGAAGTATCACAATGATAGATTTGTGAAAATTCTCTTCTAGTTTTCTTAAATATCAGTGAAAAAAATTATCCAGTTCATTAATTCATCTTAAGAAATGGATAAAAGAAAACAGAGGCCAGTAAAACATAAAGAGGCTCCATGTCTTCTTTCCTCTTGATCCTGCCTCTCTGCACTTCATTCCAACAACTTCCATCCTTGATCCATGTTCCTGTGTGCTCCAAATGTTCTGCTGTTGTCAGGGCTCTTGCTACTCTCCAGGCTGCAACCAAGATCATGTCCCCATATTTGCCCTCTCTCATTTCATGTCTGCAAACATCTCCTAGATATTTACTTGGTGCTAGACCCTAGTGGGTACCAAAGATAAAAAGACGTAATTCCTGTTCCCAGAGAGTTGATAGTCTAAAGAAGAGTCAACTGACAATTTCACTGCAATGTGGCAGGTGGTTAGGCTCGAGAGATGCTATGTATTAGGCTGGGTATCTAATATAGCCAAAAGCCAGGGAAGTATATCAAGAGAAAATGATGTCCTTTCCAATTTTGTATAAAATCATCACTTCTGGGAATGAAGGGTCCCAAAAGATGGGAAGCCCAAAGCTCTTATTCCATCTCAATGCATCCTATCAAGTTTCTTTCAGATAACTTTGCTGCAGGAAGAAGGGGAGTAGAATGGTCTTCCCATGTCATGCCAGGTCTCTAAATTACAAACATAAAGGAGTTAAGGAGAAGATCCTCACCTCCCATTGTTATATTCAGTCCCAAATCCCTGAGTGTGCATGTTCTCTGGGACATAAGAGTTACAGCGCTATTATGTCTTTAATAATATACATTATGCATTGGATCTCTGACATTAAAGCAGCATACTTAGTGGGAATCACAAATCATTCCCAAAGGATCTCACTGTTATTGAGGTCAGGCCAACTGCCTAGGGAGGCTAAATAAAGTCCACTATAGCTTTAGACCCCTGAATTACAATGTATATACATCTTCAGATATTTTACAAATAACATTGCAAAGTATTCAATTTATCATATAATTGGCTCCATACGAGGCCCCTTCTTTACTAGTCCCCCACTCAAATTGGGAACCTCTGCATTTTTACTAATAGTGTTGGAATCATTCTTACTTTCTCTGTTCAGCACCCTCACACCCCACATTATCCATCCACGTCATTTTGGAGGCCAGTTTGTCAACCATTACAACTATACTCAGAGGCTCAATAAAATCCATCATTTTGCTGTTTCCTCTTCATAGAAATATTGCATCAACTTTGAATGTTACTGCTGGAGAACATGACTTGGACCATGTAGAGCCAGGAGAGCAAACCCTCACCATTGAAACCATCATCATACACCCATATTTCTCCACCAAGAAACCAATGGACTATGATATCGCTCTTTTGAAGATGGCTGGCACTTTCCATTTTGGTAAACATTTGAGGCTCACTCTGAATTGTCTATACCATGTTCTCTATAACTTCTGTTCCACAGCACGTTATATGATAGGTAGCATATGCCCAACAGTTCTGCGTCATGGACTTTGAGATAGGGATTTGGAATGGAGGTTCCCCTACCTTAAACTCTTTTTGCTTGTGGCTTCAGATATAGGGTTATGTGGAGTCAGGAGAGGGTCTTTGTTTGTCTAACAAGTGACCCCTGGAGATGCCAGGCAGAAATATCACAACTCTTATAAGGTTTCTGGGGAACCACCTGGATGCCAATTGGTGAGTGGCTTCTGGTGTCCTCTCCTCCATGGATATGACAAGCCCTACCTTTCTCTCTTCTTCAGGTCAGTTTGTGCGGCCTGTGTGTCTTCCAGAACCAGGGGAACGATTTGAGGCTGGATTTGTTTGTACAACAGCAGGCTGGGGCCGCTTGACTGAAAGTAAGACCTTCTATGCTGCTACTCTTAAACATATGTCAGAACTTCCTGGTAGACAATCAGAAGATAGAATTTTTAAAAATTATTTTATTGAGGTCATATTGGTTTATAACATTGTGTAATTTCAGGTGTTCATGATTATATATCAGTTTCTGTATAGATTACTTCATACTCATCACCAATAGTCTAGTTTTTATTCGTCATCATACATATGTGCCACTTTACCCCTTTCGCCCACTCCCCTACTCCTTTCCCTTCTGGTAACCACTAATCTGTTCTCCTTATCCATGTGTTTATTTATCTTCCATATATGAGTGAAATCATTTGGTGTTAGTCTTTCCCTGTCTGGCTTATTTTACGTAACATAATACCCTCAAGGTCCATCCATGTTGTTGCAAATGGCACGATTTTGTCTTTTTATATGGCTGAATAGTACCCCATTGTATATATATATATATCCCCCACATCTTCTTTATCCATTTTTCAGTTGATGGACATTTGGGTTGCTTCCCCATCTTGTCTATTGTGAATAATGCTGCAATGAACATACAGGGGTGCATAAATCTCTTTGTATTGTATTTTTTTAAAGAGTTGTGTAAACATTTTTAAAAATAGATAATACCACATTGTACTTAAAAATTCAGGTCTTTCCAAAAGACACAAGCCTAATGGGGCACCTGCAACTCAGAAAGGGTGAAAAAATGCCTTGCTGGGGCTCTTATCTCTGTTTTCCAGATGGCATCCTCTCACAAGTCTTGCAGGAAGTGAACCTGCCCATTTTGACCCAGGAGGAGTGTGTGGCAGCTCTGTTAACCCTAAAGAAACCCATCAGTGGGCGGACCTTTCTCTGCACAGGCTTCCCAGATGGAGGGAGAGATGCTTGTCAGGTAGGTGGGAGTGGACAAGCTGACAGGTCCCAGGCAGGGCTTCCCTCAGCTTTGTCATCTGGTGAGGGCTGTACGTAAGACTGGATTCTGGAAAGAAGAGTCAGAAGTGACAGGGGAGGTCAAGTCAAAATAAAGGGACAATTTAAACAACCTGTTTTTACCAAAGAGTGTGAATTCAGAGGAGGTCTTCCACTTTTTGCAAAAGATCAAATCACAGGGATAATGCCAACAATGAGCTCAGGATTCTCCCCTTCTGAAGGATGTCTGGCTGTTTCCTGTATAGAGATATCCAGTTTGTCGATAATGGGAACTTTACTTACCCTTCATTCCTCCTGATGACCAAGACCTCAAGTCAGTTTTACTACTGGGCAAGAATTCTCTGAGTCTGTAGGATGAGACAGGAGAAGAAAAAAAGTCTGATGTTTATGAAAGCCTAGGATGGGGACGAAGGGGGTGGAATTGATAGGCTCCAATGATATTTGAGGAGCTAGTATGAATTATACTTGGCTGTTCTTCTAGGCCCCTGAGTGCAAATTATTAGAAATTAAGAAATATCACTGATCCTCATCTAGCATCTTTGTGGGAGGAAAGAATAAGCACTTTGGGGCACAGACACTGACAATGATGGTAACTGAGGCTTTTTCCCCCCACAGGGAGACTCAGGAGGTTCCCTCATGTGCCAGAATAAGAAAGGGACTTGGACTCTGGCTGGTGTGACTTCCTGGGGTTTGGGCTGTGGTCGAGGCTGGAGAAACAATGTGCAGAAAGATGATCAAGGATCCCCTGGGATCTTCACAGATCTTAGTAAAATGCTTCCCTGGATCCACAAACACATCCAAATTGGTAATGAAGCCAGGACATCAGGTCAAGAAGCTAGGGCCAGAGAGCACATCAGCAGAGCCTAGACAAGTGAGGAGCACTGAGCAGACAGGCTCTGCTTCTGTTTTTAGTCTCTCACATAAAGATTGTGATAATTACTAAGTCAAAAGGAAGAGTAAAATATGGTGTATGGTACAGCATACAAATATTCAATGAAACATGAATACATCCATCCTAGACTTTGTCAAATTTGCCTTTAACTGAAACTATCTCAGCTGGTGATGTGTTTTCACCACTTACTTCTCAACTGTGCTAGCAAGATTCAGCAAGCTATAGCACAGGTCAGTGGTTATCAACCAGGGAAAATTTTGTCCCCCAAGGGACGATGTCTGAAAACATTTTTGGTTGTCACAACTAGGAGAGGGGGGTGCCACTGGTATCTAGTGGGTAGGGGCCTTGGATGCTGCAGAGCATCCTACAATGCACAAGACAGCCCTCACAACAAAGAATAATCCAGCCCAAAATGTTAGTAATGCTGCGATTGAGAAGGCCTGGCATAGACCCAGGTACCATAAGTCTGAGAAGACCCAGGTCTACTAGATTGACCAGTGAGTTAATTGAAATTTCATTCCTGCCTCCAAATTCAACTTAATTGTTTTCTTAACTGGTTGGCTTCCAGCCTCAATAGGGCTTCTATTCTTTACCAAAGGGAGAAATTCAATTAGTTAAAGTAATTCAAATTCGTTCAGTAAGAACTTGGGTCTGTTTTTAAGTGTATGGTACAGTGGCAGGTATCTGAGCCTTCAGTTCAAGTTGTAGCTATCCCAGCCACTCTTTTGTGGTTGTGAGAGAGTTATTTCCATCGTCAGCCTCCCTTCTCATATAAAATGAGAGGGGTAGGCCAGATGACCTCTTCTTGCTCTGTGTAACCTCCAAGCTAATCATGGCCTGCTTCTGAATCAGACCACTTAATAAAGAGTTGAAGTCATCTCATTAAAACACCCACGCCACTTTCCTGCTCCGTCAATTTATCCCTTCTGTTCTTTCCACAGATTAGATTCTCATTAGTTGCATATTGACTTAAAAATCTCTGCACTTTTGAGCCAGGTAGAGGCTAACTTCTTGAAATATTCTTTAGGATATCACAATCCCTGAATCACATCTCTCTTTTCCTTTCTCAGGGAAGCGGAGAAAAATCTCCAGAGGTGGGTATTTCTCGCAGCCTGCTCCACCAAGAGCGTGAATTAATATCTAGCGTCTCTGAGTATCTGTTGCCTTTGTAATCAAGTCTTCCTCTGCAAGAGCTCTCCTTGCTCACCAGGTATAAAACCACCATTTGGAGCACCCACGGGCATTCCCTGCCAGTCAGGGCAGTCCCTCGCCCAGCAGGAGCCCCGGATTCCCTCCCATTTCACTTCTTGTCAATACAGAGCTCCATCTCAATTCAGCAAACATTTACCAAATCCTAGCTTTAGATCAGAGACTCGAGGGAGGAGGGTGAGGTGGTACAGATGTGGTCAATAAGCTACATACCTTATCCTGAAAGTGTCCTTCCTTATACAGTGGACTTACTCACCCCGGTTGTTACACTGCAAGTCTAGAATGAATTCACTCTGTGACTTTGGGCAAGCTCCTTCCTACCTCTGGACCTCAGTTTCCTCATTCATAAAGAAAAGAGTTTGGACCAGATGGTCTCTAAGGCATCTTTAGCTCAAATCTTCAGTGGTTCTCTGCGTCTGTGGAACTATCTACAAAGAGCAATGTGGGATTAGAGTACCCTGAGTGCTCAGAGGAGTGAGTGGCTGCTTCTAGATGACAAAAAAAAAAGACAGGGGAGGCTTTGGAACACAGACATCTTTTAAGCTGAACCTTCAAGGACAAAGATGAGTAGGATTTTTTCAGGTGGAAATGGGATATAGGTAAAGAAAACTGTTCCAGCTCAAGGAATCATCCTTATCAAAGGATGAATACTAAAAGATGAAGATAGGAAAACTTAGGATGTAATAGAGACCAGTAAGTCAGTCAAAGAAGCTGTAGTGTAAGATATGTGATGGGGAGAAGATTAGACAGATAACTTGAGACCAAATTATGGAAACTTTGCATGCCAGTCAAAAAATTTCAACTTTCATTGAGTAATAGAAAGACTGATTAATTAGATAAATAGAGCTACACTTTAGTGGTATAAGAACAGCACAAGATGGGAGGATAGAGGTTAGAGTGAAAGGAAAAATAATTCAGGGTGGAATTATGAGACTATGCATTAGTTTAAGAGACAAGAAATGAAGGCCTGAACTAGGGCAATGGCCAGAGAATGAAAAGGAGGGAATAGAAACAAGAATGAGGACTTAGTAGACACTTAGATGAAGGGTGGTGAGGAAGAGGGAGGAATCAAAGACGATACCGAAGAAAAGGGCACATAAAAGTAGTCAAATCAGAAGTGGAATCAGTTTTGCAGACCCAGAGGAATTCCATTTGTCCTGTGTTAAGTTTCAGGGGAGATATCTAGGGGACTGCTGAAAAATCAGGGCTGAAGTTCACAAATGTAGAGATAACAGTTGAAACTGAGGCTACTAGTCAGAGGGCTCATGTAGACAGAGATGAAAACTAGGGATAGAATCTGCCTCTATATATGTATGAATGTATAGAGTGTATGTATAGAGTGGAGTTATGCGGTCAAAGGAAGAAGAGTGAAGGAGAAGAAATCACAGAATCCCAAGGTTAGGCTGGATCTAAAAGGAACAAAAAGAATAAGGAATCACAGAAGCCAAGACAGGAAATAGTCCATGAAGAAAGGAAGCATGCATAAAGAACAACCAGCAGTTTCCAGTGCCTGCACAGGTCTGGAAGGAGGGGGCTGCCGTGGTTAGCCATCACTGTCAGCCCTGATTCTCCTGGCTTTCCCTTCCAGCCTCATGCAGTGAGCAGGATGGAGTGGTCAGTGGGTCTGAGGGGGAGCTGCAATTCCCAGAAAGCCCCCACCTATATTATGAGAGCAAGCAGTGAGTAGCCCCCTCTGCCACTCCTCCCCTGACTCCCACCTCCAGTCTGACTGTGCCTGTTAACTGGACCATGACAGCCACTTTCTGTCGAGAAATAACACCCTCTCAATGTGTCTGCCTGCAGCCTGTGTGTCTGGACCCTTCTGGTACCAGAGAAAATGCATGTGTTACTCAATTTTTCCCAACTGGATGCAGAGTCTTGTCACCACAATCACCTGTCGATATATTCTTTAGAAGACAAACTTATTGGTGAGTGGATTTTCACATCATCAAATGGACATTAGTGTCAGGAGGGCTTAACGGGGCCTGGTTACAATCTGTCTGGCACTGAGGCATCTGTAAACACCACACTTCCTGTCTCCAATTTTAAGACTCAGAATTGACAGTGGGAAGAAACCGAATCTGAGCCTGTGTGAGGGCTGTAAGGCCACAGTGCATTTCATTTGCTGCATCTGCTTCCCATGGAGCCAGGCTTCCTAGACTCATTTGGCAGATCTGGAACTCATCAGGTGTAAAATGTAGACATATTCCAGGGCCTCTTGGGGCCTCCCAGGCGGAATGCTGCTTTCCTAGGTATGCAAATGACCTTTACCTGCCTCAAACAACTAAGAAAAAAAATACTAATGGATAACCATGAGTAGCAGCCAAAGGTTACTTACATAAGAAACAGAAATGGAGGAGCGTTTCTGTAGTTCTTAGCTGGAGGTGATTTTGCCCCGCAGGGGACACTTGGTGATGTCTTAGACGTATTTTTGGTTGTCACAACTGGAGGGAGTGTTACTGGCATCTAGTGGGTAGAGGCCAGGGAAGCTGCAAAATATCCTACAATGTGCAGGACAGCCTGAACACAGAGAACGTTCCAGTTCAAATGTCAGTAGTGCTGAGGTTGAGAAACCCTGGTTTAGACAGTCCTGCATGATCATGACAAGTTCAGTTCTCCTGTGTTTTCTAGACTCTGAACAAAGAACCTTTGTCCATATGTTGCAGGGAAATTCTGTGGAGAAAGCCTCACTTCATCAGTTCTTGTTGGCACCAACTCTATCAGGCTGAAGTTTAGCTTTGATGCCACAGATTACGCCGCTGGGTTTAATCTCACCTATAAAGCTCTTAAACCAAACTACCTTCCGGGTAAAACCATTTACTTCTATCACACACTATCCAGGCCTTTTGTGGAGGTTGAGGCCCCATAGGAATTAAGTGAGGGGCGGGGAGCTCCTTCCGAGGCCCTCTTGGCTCCATAGCGGAGAGGAGCACGTGGCCAGTGAGGTGCGGGCACAGGCACTCCTTCTACGGTCCTGCTAACTCACATTTATCACGCACCCACGTGAGTTAAGAGGGCCTAATGAGTTCTGGAAAATCAGTGCACGAAGCTTTCCTTGTTGGCTCTGCCTGAAGATTCAGCTCATGCATCATTTGTGGGAGACAGGAGGGAGAACAAAGAGGATTCCCTTTGCTTGGGTGAGGCCATTGTTTGAACGTTTCCCCTTGTGTTTCAGATTCAGGTTGCAGTTCCCTAACTGTCCTTTTTGAAGAAGGCCTCATACAGAGTCTTCGCTATCCTGAGGACTACAGTGACATGGCCGACTGTAACTGGGTTTTTCACGCCCCTAAACATTACCTAATTAAGGTACTGACTCTGGTTACCCTTACTTTGCTGTGGTATCTCCACAGAATAGCTAACATAAGCACCATGAGGGCAGAGGTTTTTATTTGATTTATTCACTGCTATATCCCTAGTGCCTGGTATCTGGCACACAAGACTCTCGATAAATACTTGAAATAACAGAGCAGACAATTTTCCCCTGTAACTACCCATACTTACCACTAGATGGCAACAGTGCACTTCACTTTTTGTTGAAGTGCTGCCTTAATCTTTGTTCTTGGTAATTGGTTTTATCAGTGTCTAGTCCCTTCTAGAAACAAGCATTTCCTCCTTATCAATTAAACTGCTAACAAAACATTTTGTAAGTAATGGATAACAAAAATCAATGACATCAAGGCCCAAATCATCAAGCTTTCCGTGCAGAGGGGACAGAGCAAGCAGAGGAACCACTGTCGAACAGGTAGAGACAGTTTAAGAGTTGCTGGTCTAGGAGTCGTAAGGTGCAGGGAGAGGTGGTGGAAGGTGAGGCTGAGGTCGTAGCTTGGAGGGCTTTGAATGTCAGCACCCAGGGTTTATTCACCATCTGATTAGCAGTGTTTATGGCCATTTGTTTGCTTGTTCATTAAACACTAGTGGGCCATCTGTGGAGATATGCTGCCAGAGAGCTGAAGGGGAGACTGCAGTCAGAGTGAGGCTGGAACCAGGCATTTATTTAGGAGTCTTTCTCTTAAAATAATAATTGAAAGCAAGAGAGTATATGGAGGGGAGAAAGTAGAGTAGAAAATAAAGGGAGAGGAGTAAGGGAGGACAAGACCTCAAAGTTCTCATATGTTTAAGAGGCCAAAAAAGACCTGAGACACAGGAGGAGAACCAAATTGGTGTGACGTGATGACAGTCCAGAGAGTGGAGGCTTTACTTTAAAACAAAACAAAGTAAACAAACAAAAATGTGTGGCCAATAGTTTGGGTTTAGCACACAAAGTTAGAGTCTAAAGAGGATGAAGACTGATCATTTGTTGTCCATTCCCACTCCATCACCCAATAAAAAGGTAGACTAAATGGACTGGACAACTGAACAATAGACAGGAGAGGGGAGTGGCGGGGTCTGAAGTATCAAGTTAAGTCGGACGTCAAGAGCAGAAACAAGAACACACAGGTTTTACGAGTGAGTGGGAGAAGATTGCACAGAGGATATAAGTATAGATCTTCTCTTTCTAAAAATTTCTGAAACCCGAACAGAGTCAAGGCAGAAATTGCAGGAGGAAGCAGAATTAAGGGAACATTTGTTGTTGCGATGGGGGATAAAAGTTTAAGTATGAGCATATTTCCGGAAAGAAGAAGAGAAAACGTAGTTGAAAAATCTGAACATGCCAGAGCTGGAAGTGATTCAAAAACATCTATTCAATAAATGTACACTGAGTGCTGTGCCTGGGTGAAATCATGCTCTCACAGCCGGCCAGTGACAGCATCATCTTGCAATACCCATCAGAGATAGTAATTTGGAAACTAGTATTACAAATCATAACTATGTGCATAGCATTGGACTTCGAGAGGAAAGGGTCCATTTCCAGAAAGTATCCCATTAAGAGTTTAAGAAATGTTTCAACGAATCCCGTTTCTGATGCATCTCCTTCCCCCCATACCTACATTCCCATTAATGATCACTTGCCTCCACTTTTGTCCTATCCACACAGTCCTCTGTGTCTTGTGCCAAGTGCTCAGGCTCCACTGAATCCCCATCATCTGTGTGTTTAAAATCCAAACTCCTACCGCATCAGCTCCATCTTCCACAGCTCCTCACTTCCAACCCAATTCGCCGGTGCTACCAAGTTGCTCAAAGGCTGCTCTTTGCTTTTTCCTTGCTCCTCCTTTGCATTGCTCCCTCTGTCTAGATGCTTCCCTTCCCTTTGCCTGACACAAAACAGGTTCCCCACTCAGGAAATAATATGAGAGAAGGAAAAAGCAAATGTACAAATATATTCACATTTTTAAGAGAGCCAAAAAGTGGAACTTTCATAATTGTCCAAGGATAGAGATAAATGGAATATTATGCTGCCATTAAATATTATGACTATAGAAATGATGGAGATAAGATTTGTCATGATTTATTCTTGGTGAGCCCAGGTTGGTCCCAAGTAATCATCTTTCTTTTATAGAGTATTACACATCCTATGTTTAAGAATCTACTCTAGAATTTTGCTGAGGTTTACATTTAAGCTTAGTATCCAAAATCAAGTCTCTCTAACCCATACTAGGATTTCCATTTTCACAGATGTCCATGACTTCTCAAAGTTCACTGCATTGACTCTGAGACCACCTTTGCAAATGCTTTTAGTAGCTCAGATGATCTTTTGTCTTACATCAGCACTTAGACTGACTCATACCTGTGCCATATCAGAATTTGTCAGTGAGCCGTAGAGATTTATTGGCAGAAAGACAAGGCAGATGGGAACAGGGGCCAGATATATCCTGCCAAGTAGAAAGACACAGTCTCCAAGGGGCACAACCACCTTCAATCTTGTTTCAGGAGAACTGGAGGTTCAAGATGAAATATCAGGAACCAGGTGTACAACAGTAAGATGTCCAGAGAAGCAGTTGGGTGTCCATGGGTTCCTTGTCTAACCCAAAGCCTCGTTGCTTCCAGTGAAAAAATCTCCACGGGATGGCTCTTTTCATCTCTTAGAGCTGTGACAGAGCTCAAATATTTGTACATTTTCCCACCCTTTATTCAGCCCATATTTGGTAGCTTAGATGTCTCAGAAGGTTTGGGAGCCTGTGATGTGGCATCTTTTCCTAAGTCATTTAACCCACTCATGAATGCCCCACTCACTTGCTCATCTAAGGTCACGCTCCAGAGCAAGTTGAGCAATCCCCATTTCTCCATTTAATCAAAATCAGGTACTTCATTCCTATTGTTTACTCTGGATGTAATGTGGAGTCTTCTCAGCTTTCTTTTCAGAACCTGGAAATAGAGGAAAGTGGAGACTGCACTTCCGACTATGTGACAGTGCACAGCGATGTCGAAAGGAAGAAGGAAATAGGTTCGTGTTCCCCTGGGGCCTCAGCTTTCATGGTTTGCTTTTGGGCCCAGTGCTTTTTGGGAATAAAAATGATCTGGCTCAATTTTCCTTCGTTCCCGGGCACCACTTCCATCTCTCCCTATGCTCTCACCACAACTCCTTCTACACTGGGGCAGGAAGAGCGAGAGGGGGAATCAAAGACCCATTTGAGTGGCCGGCCTGGTGGTGTAGCGGTTAAGTTCATGTGTTTTGCTTCAGCAGCCTGGGGTTTGTGGGTTCGGACCCCTGGCATGGATCTACACACCGCTCATCAACCGTGTTATGGTGGTGTCCCATGCGCAGGGTAGAGGGAGATTGTCACAGATGTTAGCTCAGAGCCAATCTTCTTCACAAAAAAAAAGAACCACTTGAACAGAAAATGTGGAAGGCCACAATGAACTAGGGGTCTTTGGAGGAAAGTGCCATTACATAAGCCCTGTGGCTAGAACCAATTCCCTCAGTGGTATTCCCAGTAGGAGTATTTGTGAGATAAACAGAATTGAAATGTTGATGGGGTTAAATACATACTAAAAAGAAGCAAACTGCTTTTCTATTGTGAAAACAAATTCTGACATCCACCAGAAAAGTTTATTTCTCACAATTATCTAAAGGACAAATGTTTTCTCCTATCCAATCCCATGTCTATTTGCTGGGCCCTTGACCACGTCTTGCCTGGGCTGGGCTTGAACCAGCTCGGTTGTGTGGCTTTGTCATCCCAGCCCCTGTGCTGAGCTCCTCGGATGTAATGCTCATCACCTTCCAGTCAGATGAAAATGTGACCTTCAGAGGCTTCCAGGCTACAGTCTCCTTCATTCCTGAAACAGGTAAGAAGATAGAGGCACCAACGCCTCAGGTTTCAATTCTCATCCTCATAATGCAGTAATAAAGGGTGGCCTTTAGAGCCCAACATGGATACAGTCAGTTCTCATTATTGGCAGCAGTTCTGTTCTATAAAGTCACCAGGAACACTGGATTCGTGGTCCTAGGGGAAATACAGGGTTAGGTTCTTATGAGCCTCTGGTTTATGTGTGTTTCTGTTTAAAGTCACCTTATTTAATATATATTGTTGATTCATTAACATTGAACTCACAACCAATATAGTGAACTCACCACTCTACCTTGTGCCTGAACAAAGCTTATCTATCACACGTATTTTCTCCATAAGGCACATCCCAGCCTCCGTGCACTTAGGACCATGAGATGGCACTTCACCACTATTTTTTAGGGCCATGTTAAACAGCAAAATAACAACAAAAACCACAAAAATGCAAGAAAATGTGGCACTAAACAGACCATGGAAAGGACACTTGTTTATAGCATGAGAGCTAAAACAAGAAGGCAGAGCATCGCCTCATTAGACGTCAGCTAGGAACACAGGCATCAGGTGACTCAAATTTTTCCCTGCTCTGCACACGTCCATGAGTGACCATGAAAGCACCATGAGTGTTGGTTTTGAGTTACAAATAAATGTTAGCTAGTAGGTGAATTCGCAAATACGGAATCCGTGAAAAATGAGGATCAACTGATGTCTGAATCTTGGTCTATTCTTATAATTGTGTGATCTAAGAGTCACCTAAGACATTTTCTTCAACCTTACAATGGAAGAATAATACACACCTAGTAAGAATGTAGTGAGGATTGACTCAGATAAGGTACGCTTGGCCACGAGCAAGCGTGTGACACATAACAGAGTCTCGAAAATGTGAAATGTCTTCACCAACCCCCAGTCCCTAAACACTTGAACTACACAGCTTACTTCCACATCCTCACACCCCTGAGCACTCTGTCCAAATTCCACAAAGCCAGTATGGGCTTCTCAAGTTGTTCATTCTTGTTAGGCAGTAAGTAACTGCTTATGGCAAAGCCAGGCTGTAGTTAAATAATGCACTTGTAGTAAATGTAGTAAAATACTCCACTTTACAGTAAAAATACCCATAGAGTTCATCTGACGGAGATGCTCCAGAATTCTAACAATAATAATTTTCTGATAAGTCCCAAACACTGGCCTTGTCTGTGATCTGAGCAATTGTATTATGCTTACACCCAGATTTAAACATCTCTAGATCAGAGGATGCACCAATGTTTTTGGAGACATGGAATGTACTGTCTGAAGAACCCAATGCTCCTGGTAAGCTCTTTTGGGGAATGTGACCAAGAGATACCCACAGAGTATATCAGCCAGGGTTCAACCAGAAAACCTCAAAAAGATATGTTGGAGTCCTAATGTCCAGTACCCCAGAATGTGACCTTATTGGAGACAGAGTCTTTACAGAAGTAATCAAGTTAAAATTAGGTCTATAGTGTGGGCCCTAATCCAAGATGACTTATGTCTTTATAAAAGGGGAAATTTGGATGCAGAGAGAGACACACACATAGGGAGAACGTCATATGAACATGAAGCCAGAGATTGGGGTGACGCATCATCTACAAGCCAAGGAACGCCAAAGATGGCCAGCAAACCACCAGAAGCTAGGAGAGAGGCATGGAGCAGATTCTCCATCACCACCCTCAGAAGGAATCAACCCTACCAACACCTTGGTCTCAGACCTCTGGCCTCCAGAACTGTGACACAATAAATTTATGTTCTTGTAAGCCACGCAGTTTGTGATATTTTGTTATGACAGACCTAGCAAGCTACACCAGGAACTGGGTTACACAATTGTAGGGGCTGACTAAGCAAGTAAATCCACAGGGCAGGCACTCAGAAAGGGAAGACCACAGAACACTGGAGTTGCACGGGCATGGGCTGAAGCTATTCTCCACAGGCAGAATTTCTTCTGTCTTTTGGGGAAGTCTCAGCTCTGCTTTTAAGGCCTTTCTAACTAATTAAGTCAGGCCCACCCAGATTATCCAGGATGATCTTCCTCTCCTAAGTCAACTGATTAGGGACTTTTATTCCATCTGCAAAATCCCTTCACAGCAACATCTAGATTAATGTTTGAATATCTGGGGGCTGTAACCTAGCCAAGTTGACAAATCAAAAAAGCCATCGCATAGAGCAATGTGGGCTGTGGTCATTGTTCCTTTTGCTTAAAGCAACACTGAAATATTTTCAGTCACAAGAGTCAAAATTCCCATCTCAAGTGATTCATTCGGTGGGAATGGCTAAATAGTGTGCCAAACTGTGGTCTGACTCAACAAGGTCCATCCACTGAAAAAAAAAAGTGAGTATGTCACTATGTTTTAATGCCAGTGAGCCTGGAGAAGTGCTGGACTGTCTCTTCTTGTTTCCTCCATCACGTCCACATGTGCGACACCTTGGTCCACATGGACAATGTGGTGAAGGGAGCAAGCAGAGGATGGAGCAGGGAAGCATTTATTGTTTGCCTTTTGATAACTTGTCAAGAGAAAAATCAAGCACCTTATTTTTAATGTTTTTAATTTTAATTTTCTTTACTTTTATAAATTATCTGACACATAGAACACAGAATAATAGAGAATGTGAAGAGTGAGCATTTCTTTTAATGAGAAGGGATGGATGCAGTCTGTTCTGGCTTCGTGGACCTCATGATGCATCAATGCCCTGGGTAGAAAATCTTGGTAAAGTGCAGCTGTGGTGGTTCCTTCTCTTGGCCACCATGGGGGTACATCCTCAAAGCCAATTTTCTCAGCCTAAACCAAGTACGATATTTTCTAAGGAGTGTCATTACAACACTCAGCAAGATTTATTCATCACTTTATCCCCAGCACCTACCGCAGTGCCCAGAACACAGCAGATGCCAAATAAATATTTGGTGAACCAAACTAAATAATCCGCAAATAGCTCCTGATGTAAAACCTCAACAAGAGAAACTTTCCTGATTTTTTCTCACTGAACTCACACCCACTTTATGGCCCTCTTCTTTTATACAAATACGCATGAAAACTTTAAAAGGGACAAGAAAAAGAGTTTACATGTGCCCTGTTCTAAATAGCACACCTAACCTGGATCACGTAAGTCGTTCAATAAGCAATTTTGTCCTTCACTTTTTATTTTGAAATTTTGCAAATCTACAAAACACGTGGAAGAATAATACAAAGAACACTTTTTTACCCTTCACTAGTATTCATCAATTGTTGACATCCCGACACATTGGCTTAATATTCATTTGGTGTCTTCTCTGTACAAATCTCTAGGGCATGGGAGAGGAGGGTATAAAGAGGAAGAGATATGGTACCTATCTTCAATAATTTATATCTTAATAATGAAAATTAGGTGTACAAATAGATGATACTGTATTACTTCCATTTATATAAAACTAAAATCATTCAAAACTAATACAGAATACACGATGCTAGATGTCAGGATAGAAGTTACCCTCTGGAGAACTAGTGACTGGAAAAGCTCCTGATGGGTCTTCTGGGATGCTGCTAGTCTGTTTCTTGATCTAGGTTCTGGTTATACTTTTTGAAATTTCATTCAAAGTCCTTTACTACTTGAGTATTTTTCTTATGTATGTTATATTTCAATAAAATTCACAACAAGAGAAAAAAGTGTACAGAAAACTATAATACAAGAAAATACTGAAATAACTTCTGGATGAGATAATTAGGAAACTGGCATTTGATTTGTGCCCACAAGGGTGAGTAGGATGTCAACCTTATTCCATACACTATGGGGAACCTTGGATGGTTTTGATCAGGGCAGTGACATGATTAAAGCAGCACTTTTTGGAGGCTATTTTGGGAGCATGAGGAGGATAGGAAAGATAAACTGCAGGGAAACTAGTCCAGGTGAGCAATATTGAGGATCTGAGTTCAAAAGTAAAAGGTGGATGCAAGATATATTATGGATATAGAATCTAAAGGGTTTGGAGACTGCATAGTTGGAGCAAAAAAAGGGAGAAGTCAAGGGTGAGCTTGATATTTTACTCTTGGGTGAAATATCCACCTCCAGTAGTGTATATTTTTTTAATCTCTCTGGAATACTACAAGTATTTCTCATTATTCCAAGGTGTTTGTTAGAGTGCCCGGCACAAGGGAGATGCTCAGAGATTATAATCTGGGCTTGATGGTGAGGAGGATTCATGAATAATAAAGATGCGTCTTCTTGGCCCGTTCCCAGGTGGCCTCTGCAGAGCCCCTTCCCACTTCCCCCTTCCAAGTTTCTTTCCAGCCAGTTTGTGGGAGGCAAGGAGGCTACAGCCAGCTCCTGGCCAAAGCAGGTTAGTCTGCAGATTGCCACCAGGCATTTCTGTGGAGGGCCCATCATTGGGAAGACCTGGCAGTCACCCCTGCTCATTGCTTCACCAGTATGTAAGCACACCCAGGGAATGGAACATGCTGGGAGCTGATGGTTTAAATTAGGTAGTCGTTAATTCTTCAGCTACCACCTCCGACACGCATCAGGGTCTTCTGCTACTTCCGCATTCACCACCATGAGGGGCAATCCATCTCCCCAGGCAGAACTTGAACTCCTCGAGCGCTCAGGAAAGTTCTGCCCCCTCACATTGTGCCTCTTCTATATTTTAATTAAACATGAGGCTGGCTGTTGGATAGAGAGATACTTATTGTATCATATATTACTTCCTAGGATTTTTAGATCAGAATTAATATTGAATTCTGTGAAACAATTTTTAGCATCTACTTGAATGATTTTCTCCTTTGATTTATTAATGTATTAAATCCATATTAATAGAATTCCTAACATTCCTACATTCCTGAAATGAATCCCACTTGGGGACAATACATTCATCTTTCAATGTACTGCTGGGTTCTGTTTACTAATATTTCACTTAGATTGTTGCATCAACATTCATAATTGAAATTGACCTATAGCAGAGGTTCTCAAAATGTGATCTGGAGACTGCTAGGGATCTCCAAGACCGTTTTAGGGGGGTCTGCAAAGTCAAAACTATTTTTGTAGTAATACAAAGACATCATTCTTCCTTTTTACACTCATTCTCTCACAAGTGTGCAGTGTTTTCCAGAGGCTGCATAACATGTGCTATCTCAACAGATTGAATGTAAAAAGCAGACAGGAAATCCCTCCTGTCTTCTTTTTGGTCAGACGTTACAGAGTTTTGAGAAAATGTGAAACAATACCAATCTTATTTAAATTTTTGTTTTAGAAAATGTAGTTATTTGAATAAACATGTTGTTTATGTTAATACCTAATGTTTTATTATGGTTATTTTAAACAAATTAACAAATTTTTTTTTAATTTATGTTTTAATTTCTAATATATTAACTACTGATAAATATTATCCACAGAAACAAAAGCTTTTTAGGAGTCTCAATGATTTTTTTCAAAATGTAAACGTATCCTGTGACCAAAATGTTTGATTGCTGGCCTGTGGTTTTCTTGTTATAGTCTGCCTTTGCCAGACTTGGGTATCAGTTTTCTTCATGAAAAGAACTAAAGAGCTTTCCTTCTTTTTTTTTATTGAGCTATAATTGACATGTAACATTATATTAGTTTCAGGTGTACAACATAATGATACGATATTCATATATATTGCAAAATGATCACCTCAATAAGTGTAGTAACATCCATTACCACACATAGCTATAATTTTTTTTCTTGTGATGAGAACTTTTAATCTACTCTCTTAGCAACTTTCTCTTAGAGCTTTCCTTCTTGCTCTAGACTTTGCATACAATTTACGATGTGAGAATAATAAAAAGTAATGTCATGCAGTTACATATTTTAAACATCTATTCATCAAAGGCTTAATGGTAACTTTCTCAATTTCCTTCATTGTTATTGGTTTTTAGGTTTAAAAATTTCTCTTTCAGTCAATTTTGATAATTTATAATCTCCTAGTAATAGTTATCACATTCAGATTTTCCTACCAATTGCTTTGAGTTGTACAAAACATTTCCTTATAATTAATACCTTCTGTTTTTGTGATATTTTCTACTTTCCTAATTTTGCGTATTTTCAAAATCTCTTTTTAAAATTAGACTAGCTAGTGTTTTGTCATTTTATAGAGATTTTATTTTAGAAAACAGTTAAATTTTTTTAATGAACATATTTCCTCTGACTGCACCCTCTTGAGTCATTTCAGCTGACCTGGACAGGCAGGCTGAACAGGGCTGGGAACGGAAGCTCTAAGATACTTCCTGCCAATGGCTGATGGGCACAGCTATAATCTGTCCAAGACTTGATTATGTTTCCATTAGAGCTCTTAACTCATTGAGTGATGTCAGACAGATTGCTTCATGTTTCTGAGCCCTAGAATCTTTTATATACCAAGAAGAGAGGATATTCTCTAGACACTTGCTATGCTGCTGGAAGGGTTGGCTGCTGCTTTCATTGCCATGGTCATGCCTTGCTTTCCCTCCGATCCCAGGGCTCCTTAGAGAGCCACCTCCTAACTTCACATGTTTTAATGAGGCCATATCTGAGATTCCTTTTTGTTTCACTTTCTAGGGAACAGCACGCAGCTGCCTGGGTGGTGAATGAAAGTGTCCATGATTTGGCCAAAGGCTCCCCTCAGGTAAGAGGCCTCCTGAGCCTCCCTTCTCTCCAGGGATCCTGGCCGCCAGCACTTCACCGTGACTGCTGCAGCCCCACTGGATCGTGTGGTTCCCAGTGTTAGCCAGGGGTTGGTCATAGATGTTTCTCTAGGGGAGTACAGGATTTGGACTGAATTTTTTTCTCTTCATAAGTAGAGAAATGGGGGAGGATTCAAGAGCCAATTTCACGTTTGTCAATTGTGTCTAGCTTCACAATGGAGGCTCTTTCTTCTCCCGGAAACCTACCACTGAAGATTTGTTTGTGGGCCAGCCTCTCCTTGTTTCCAGTCCCAACGGGACTTAGAATGAGCAATAGTCATTTAGGAAACTCTCCCTGAGGCCCACATCCACCTGGTGCCATGCTGGGCACTTGCAACACAAGGATGAGTCAGACACCATCCCACGGAGTGAGCAGGTACTGGCAATTCAAGTCGTTTCCTCTTTTAGGGGAATTCAAGCACCAAAGCTCCATGTGCCTCGCTTCTTCAGTGGGTCTATTTAAGACTCCTTTCGACTTACCAGAGGAGGTCCACCAAGCACATCATCATCCACCCTACAGCACCACAGTGGACTATGAGTTGGCACTGTTGCAGCTGCCCATCCACTTCGGTTCAATTGGCACGTTCGTCCAGCCTGTCTGCCTGAGAGAGGCCAAGGGCTGCCTGCCTCCAGGGTATGCACAGTCACAGGATGGGGCTGTCATCCAGGCCTGTGATCAGCCCTCACACCAGTGTCCTTGGAACCTTACATCTCTGCAGCACTTCACAGACTCCTTACCTACACACCTTCTCTTGGTTGCTTCTCACACTGCCCCTGTGGTGTGAAAAGGTGAGGACACTTACCCCATGTTCAAAAAAAGGAAAGAAACTGAGGCTTATGAAGTTAAAATGACAGTGACACAACTGCTAGGTGAGACGTGGCCTGCACTAGATTCAGTTTGAGCACAGTGATCTTTCCACTGCCCCGACATTGGCTGTCTCAGAGAAGGAGCCACTAATTCTACACTACTCTGATGCCATGTTGCCCTTCCCTACCCTATGATTGACCATTTAATTTATTCATTCTTTCATATGATCATATGCAAGTCCTCATTGAGCATCATCTTCTTACCAGACTCTCTATTAGGCTCTGAGGATGCAAAATCCCCCTTTGCCCAATCCATGATTTCTAGCACAGGACTTGAGAACCCTGTGCAACTGTTTTCCGTACAAGGTGGTAAATGCTGTAACAGATGTGAGCGCTAAGTTCAGAGGGAACACTGAGAAGGAAGTTTCACCCTGGGAGTATCAGGGAAGGCTTCACTAAGGATTAAACATTTATGCTGGGTCTTAAAAGAATCAGAAGTTTTTCAGATAAACAGACAGGGGAAGGCATTCCGTTCAGAGGAATTGGCATGAAATAAGGATCAGAAAGGCTAAGCAAATGGATATTGAGGGCCAAGGGGGCAGTTATGTGTGGCTAGTGCTTTGACAGGGGGATTTGAGGGGAGATTATTTAAAATGACAGCCTGGGTCCCAGTTGTAAAAGGCCTTATTTTGGTGCTAAGAAGGTTGGACTCTATCTTGTAGTCAAGTGATGAGAACTACTGCTGTTTGAATGCAGAAGATAAAAAAAAAAAATCAGACCTGTACTAAAGAAAAGTTAATCTAGCAGAAGTCAAGAGGATGGGTGGATAGAGGGAGAGTGGAGGCAGGAAACAGTTGAGGAGATGCATAGATATAAGAGCTCAAATAAATTATGATGAGGACTACAAGAGTGACAAGGAGGAAAAAGTAGGTTCAAGAGATTGTTTTCACAGAATCGACAAGATCTGATGACTAATTATGTTTAAAATAGAGGAAAGAAAAAGTCACATACGTACAAAAGTGACCCCCAGGTACCTAACTCAAGTGATTGCATAGATAAAAGCTAATAATAATAATAGTTAACATTCATTATTTACTCTGGGCCAAACCCTTTATATGCATAATCTCATAGAATCCTCTCAGTAAATAAGAGAAATAGGTACTATCATTAACTCTAATTTTACAGATGAAGAAACTGAAGCTGAGTGATCAAACCCTTTGCCCATATAAGTGGCCTAACTGGGATTCAAACCCAGGACTGTCTGAAGTCAAAAGAAACTAGTGCTCCTAACGACTGTACTACACTGCCTCTACTTCTACTGTTAAGCAAAAAAAAAAAAAGAAAAAAAAAGGAGGGGGGACTATCATAGCAGTAGCAGATTTGGGGAGGGTGTGAGAGGGCGAAGATGAATTCAGTTTGTACCTATTCACTTTTGAGGTACCTGTGGGATTCCAGCTGCAGATGGCCAGGATTAAGAGTGCAGCCTGAGGGCTGGCCCCGTGGCTTAGCGGTTAAGTGCGCGCGCTCTGCTACTGGCAGCCCGGGTTCGGATCCCGGGCGCGCACCGACGCACTGCTTCTCCAGCCATGCTGAGGCCACGTCCCACATACAGCAACTAGAAGGATGTGCAACTATGACATACAACTATCTACTGGGGCTTTGGGGGAAAAATAAATAAATAAAATTATTTAAAAAAAAAAAAAAAGTGCAGCCTGAGAGAAGATGATCTGGGAGGTAGCAGATCCTAGCGAGGGTTGCAGCCTTGAGGAAGGCTATTCTCAGAGGAAAAGGAGCACAAGAAGGAAAGGAGAACTCGAAGAAAAAGGCTGAAAGGAGCAAGCAGAAGGGGAGGAGGAGAACCGGGACAGAGCACGGAAGCTGGGGAGAGAGTTTAGGTTTCAAGAAGAGACTGGTCAATAATGTAAAATGCTGGACAAAATCTACTAATATAAGAACAAGAAAAGAGGCCTTTTGATTTGGCCACTGGAAGGTTGTGGGTAACCTCAGGAAGTGAGGATTCCACGGTCTGATTGCTAAAGATGGAGAGTGAACGGGAAGTGAGAAAGAGGCAACAACAGAGACAGATTTCAGTTTCAGGAAGAATGGTCCCCAGTACAGCTGCAGCCTCAGGGCTCTGCTGCCTGACACTCTTGGGCTTCAGGGGTCATGGATGCACGTACTAATATGCCAGCATGCTCTCAATAACAATTTGTTTCTCAGCCTTAGTCTTCAAGGGGACTGTATTTTCTCAAAATCATGTAGTAGCCTCCTCTTTCTTATTCCCACAGCCATCATTTCTTATAAATGTTTCAGGTGATAGAATTTTCTTTGACAGCTTGCCCAGAAACATCACATATCTTTTAAGCCACATAGTAGAATCCACTTTTCCTTCTGTCTGTATGGATAACATACCCAAATATCCGCTGAAATAATATTCTGGGTTTTTTTTGTTTTTTGTTTTTACTGGACCTTAATTGACTTTAACAAAAGAGATTCCTTGCCTTCAAGATGGAGAGAGGTCCAACAAGCTACTGCAGCTTAACATTCCCATCCTTGCCTCTGACGCATGCCAGGAGTGCTGTGCAGCCCTCTCTCTAGAGATGCTCCAGAGAGCATGGGTGCTGGCTTCCCTTCTGAGGGAGGTAAGGATTCCTGCTGGGTAAGCTCTCCACCCCACATCTCTCTGCTCTCTCACAGTGCTTGTGGGAGACTGGGGAGCTGGCAGCCTGCAGGAAATATTCTGGTTGTCACCTGATGGCTTGATAAGAGGGCTTCTACTGGAGCTGTTGTGACAATGAGAGAGGCTAGAATCTTCAGGATCCTGAGGGACCCACTATAGACAATTTTAAGAACCTTCTTTTGAGAATTGAATGGTTCTTTCTAAAAAAGCTTCCTTTGGGTTTTCAGAAATGTTCTATTACCAGATAGGACATAAGGAAAAAGGTCTTTCTTTTATATTTTCAGGATTTTGGTTTCCTTTCTCCTTGCTTCCAGAACTGAATCACTATTGGTCATGGACTGGGGTAGGGCAGGCAAGTCTACAACTTCTGAAGACCTATCTCATCCTATTTGGGGAAGTAGACTCTAGGCAAAAATCATACATTCTTTATTCCTCCTTATTCCTCACCACATTTATTATTAACATTCAGTTAAAGAAGTTAAATCAGCAGGCAAAATATATCACAAGATTAAATCTACAGTTTACATATCAAGACTGACGGCCCACAAACCCCTAACTCTGATCAGGGGTCCTTGTCAGTTTGCAGAGAGAAGGCTGTGGCATAATCAGCTGTTTCAAGTGTCCAGCCCTCCTGGATCCCAGCAGAAATACCCTCCTGCCCTCTCCCAGGACCTCTTTCTCTTCCTTTTCTGGATCGTCACCTTCTGGTCTTGTTTTTCTGCCTTTACCCTCAGGGAACAGCCCAAATATCTGAGGAGAGCTTGTACATTTCACCATGGTGAGCACCTAGTACTGCTGCTTGACCCAGCCCTGTTCCATTCTAGAATGGCTCCGGGGGCCACTGGATCTGTCCCCTGGAAGATTCTGGGCACTACGCCATCTTTGGGATAACCAGCTGGAACCTGGGCTGCGGACCGATTCGCCACCCAGGTTTATCCATGCACATCTGTGCCTTCATTGATTGGAACCATTTGCACCTCCATTTGCAATGGTACTTTAAAAGAATACATTTTCTGAGTTGATGAAACTCCTTCCATAACGTTCTCCACCAAGGCAGCACTGGCCCATGTCCCCACAGGTCTCAAAGGAAGCCTTGAAAATTTCTGTCTCAAGGGATGCCACACAGAACTCATCTCTCTTCATGTTGGCAAGGATGTGCAATACTTTGCAGACTGGGATCATGCTCAGTGTAGACAAATTCATTTGTGGGGATGAGAGTGCTTCTTTTCCTCTGCTGTTTTGATAATTTTTAAAATCTATATCAGTATTTGCTTGTTCATCATGAGGAAATGGAAACTATCACATATTAAGTGATAATTGCTGTTATGGGTACTTTACATTTATTTTTTCATCAAAATTTATGTAAGAATAATAATGGCTAATACTAATCTATAACTTATTATGTGTTAGACGCTATTCTGACATTTTATGTAAACTAACTCATATAATCATCGTACAACCCAGTGAGGTAAGAATCATCATCAGTACCATCCCCATTTTAAAGATGGAGAAACCAA